CCTGGGTTGAAAGAGTTAATGTTAGTTCTTTATTTGATTTGATATTTAAATAATTATTTAATTAGTTCAAGATAATAAACATTCCTATTACTAGGATAAAACTTCTATTCTCTAAATAAGATAATTTTTATACTTTACCTTTTAAGTTAAAGAAAACATTTTCCTATTAGATATCTACAATACATCCAGGCTATTGTGTATGGCAATCTGCAGCAAGCCCAGTTAGGAGGTATTCCAGGAACTTACTCCCTTGTCCGTAGCTTTCTTAATATCCGCATTCCCACAAACACTCAAGGATTAGAGGTAATTTGGGATATATTTGTATCGGTATTTTAAAAGTGACTAATTACTGTTAAGTAATGATTCTATTTTAATTTATACTAGGCTATAAAATCATAAACTTTAATAATAGTTATTTTTTCAGTCACCAGTAGAAAAGCATTGTACTTAAATCATATTGGAATAACAGTTTAGAGTGAATATGTCACTTTAATAAACATTATGGAGATTTATTATATTACACGCATTAGTTGTAGGGAGGAAAGAACTTTTGTTCTGTGCATGAAGACCTGGGAACCCTTAAGATAAAATGGGCATAATGAAGGCCTTTTTAGTAGTTTTTATGCTTTGGAGTGTATCATCAAAATTTTGACTGTGAGATAGTGAGAGAAAAGAAATACCCACTCCAAGCACTGACTGTTAAAACAAAGATGAACAAATTTAACTCTCTCGTGATTTCTACAGTGCACTTAGCTATTTTAATGTAAAAAACTCCACAGTTAAGAGAAGTAAAAGAGGTCAGGTTAACAGAGTGAAAGTTCTCATAAACCACTGTATTTTAGTATTTCTAATATAAGATTAGGTATTGTACACATAAATTTAAGACTATTCTAACATTATTTAAATGGAAAACACAAAGTGTTAATTTGGGTATGGTTTTTCTCTGTTCTATTTCATGTCATAGGCAGTAAAGCAATGAATATTTTTCTGACGATTTAGTGGTTGGAGGACCTTTAGAAAATGACAAACATATACTTTCATATCTTGTTTAATTTTTATTACTGTTAATGAAGGTGAAGTTTCTAAAGAATGAGGTGAATGTCAAATATGAAGAAGAATGTCATACAAAAATATGTTGTGATGGGACTAGATTGTTGACGTGTTGATTTATCTATATCTTAGAAGAATGAATATTGTGAAAGGACAACTGTTTTTGTGAATGACATCAGAACATGTGTCAGACTTGGTGAACTTTGTATTATGTTTATTTTCATTTAATAAAAATCAGAAATGGTGTTTTAAATAGAGTAAAAAATAAATTTACTGATCAATTTAATGTTACAACTAGTAATCCTCCCATCCCAAGTTTATACTCACTATTTGTCTTGAATATTTCTATATTTGTTGAATATACAAGACTGTTTAATTTAAGAGTCATTCGTTGTGTATGTAGTTTAATTGTTTTACTAGGCTTTTGTGATATTGTTGCTACTGGAGGGCTAGATTTTTCTGTCACATGTTATAAATACGTGCAGATGCAGAGAGGAAGTTAACCCATTAACTGCTGCAGGAACAGCTCAGTAGCTGTCTTCTGACTCGCAGATAAAACTGAGTTGCCATCAATCACAATAAAAACGGTAATTATCGTCATTCGCATAGAGTTATAGTTATACATGTGCAATTGACGGATATTTCCGTCATTCACAGCTGAGCCATAGAACTTCATTGACAGAAATATCCGTCATCCGCAGTTGATGGGTTAATTAAGAAAGTAAGTTAGTGAAAGTAAAAGTTAAAAAAGTGAAGTTAGACTGCGTAATTGTCAGTTTAGCCATAATGGGTAATATCCAAAGTGAGTTTCACAGTCTGTATTCTAACAATAGAGATAAAGAAGAAGGATTTGTCTTGTCAAAGGGTGTTCTAAAGTAATTAGACCTGCCTGTGTGGACTTTGTTGAAAAAAAAAGAGAATTATTTTTAAAAGGTCTAGATTCAACTGTGGTAAACAATAGTGTGACAAATTTTTGTACATACATTTGACTTGTTTTCTATATATATATATTATTTTAAAATAAGCGTGTTGTGTGCTGTCTGTTTATTGTTGAGATTTATCACCAATAAGTCATAGACAACTACTGGCCCTATAAAAACCTGACAATATTTCATTAATACTACATTTCAAGATTCTGTTTTAAATTATGTTTTACTCATAATCCAAGAAGGTAGTTTCAATCTAAAAAAAAACTGTTTATAAAATGAGTTATAAAACTTATGTCAGATATACTCTGGCATGTATATTTGTCTTGTGGAATTGAATTGATTGTTCTTTTTTGGAATGGTTATTTATATAAGTATTAAATGTTTTCAGCTTGATAGTATCTCATACTTTGTTTTAAGATATTTGTATATATAATAGTATCATTAACATCTACATTTTCAAGTAGAATGGACATATAGATTAGGGTTTTAGCTGAGTAAAGCAGTATTAATTTAAATCTAAATAAAAAATTTTTTACGAAAAATACTTTGACTAAACTTTGAAAATAAATTTGCTGCTTTACAGGATGGCTTAGTAGAAGGTCACCCTGTTTGGCCTGTCATTTATTACTGTATTCGTTGTGGAGATTTAAATGCTGCACTTCGTGCTGTCAAAGCTGCTAGGTTTGTATGGTTTGTTTCATTGTTGGCTGTGATATAATTTATTTAAAATTTTTTGTTCCTGGTTTGTGTTGATTACTTTCACTTTTTTAAGGTTAATTTTCATACTTTTTCATTAGAACCGTAAAACAAAACATATTATTGCAGATGTATTGGATATAGTTTGAAAAAGAGACATTAATTTGTTTCTTATAAATTCTTATGTCTCAGGATTCCAGTAAATGTTCTAATCTATATACTACAAATACACATTTGTTTAATAACATTAGTAAAACGAAATAAGCTTTGAAAGATGGGATTAATGTATCTAATTACAAACTGTTTATTGGTAATTTTTCAAGTTTTACATTTTGTATGATTCTATTTTAATCTATGAAATTTTTTAAACTTGTGAATTTTAAATTTTTTTCCAGTTCAGCACTTGGAGTCTTGGTCTCGTATCTTACAGAGTACTCTCAATCAAATCAATCCCGGTAAAAGATTGTTGTTCTCTAAAAACAATGAATTAATAGTTACAGACAAAAAGAAATGAATAATAGTCTGTTAAATTTGTTATAATCTAAAAAAATTTTCAAAAATTAAATAATGTACATAATTTCTTTTGTTTGTAAAATCTGTATTGCTAGTAGCACATTTTTGGAGGTTGTAAAAACTTAATTTAGGACATTTAATCAGAAGAACATGTCACATTAACTGTTTTAATTTTGTGAAATTTTAATTTCAAGTTAAACAATAATTACCTAACAGTTTTGCTTTTATCTTGTGTAACAGGAAATTAGGATATCAAAAAGGATGTATGAGAAAAGGTTGGCT